GGAGACACCTGGACATGGCGCGCTGTCTCGAGGTGTCTTCCTTTTGTACTTCAATTTTTCGCGCACCTCAGTTAAAGTGAATTACCAACTCGCCCAGCAGTCCGTGTTTCTCTAAGAGTGTGAGTAGTCATGAGTATGAACGTCAGCCATGAACAATGAGTGTGAGTAGGCATGAGTATGAACGTGAGGGACTGTGAGTAGTCGTGAGTATAAACATGAGTGAGTACTCATCAGTGTGAGTACTCGTGAGTAGGAACATGAGTAAGGGCCTAGAGTGTGAGTTGGCGTAAGTTTGAACGTGAGTGAGTACTTATGAGTGTGAGTAGGAGTGCGTATAAACGTGGGTGCTCTGAGTATGAGTATAGGTAAGTATGAACGTGAGTGAGTACTCATGAGTATGAGTAAGAGTGAGCATGAACATGAATGAGTACTTTCAGTGTGAGTAGAAGTGAGTTTGAACGTGAGTGAGTACTCATGAGCGTGAGTAAGAGTGAGTATGAACGTGAGTAAGTACCCTGAGTGTGACAAGGAGTATGAACGTGAGAGAGTACTTTGAGTGTAAGAAGGAGTGAGTATGAACGTGAGTGAGTAGGAGTGAGTGTGAGTAGGTGTGAGTATGAACGTGAGTGAGTACTTTGAGTGTAAGAAGGAGTGAGTATGAACGTGAGTGAGTAGGAGTGAGTGTGAGTAGGCATGAGTATGAACGTGAGTGAGTACTTTGAGTGTGAGAAGGAGCGAGTATGAACGTGAGTGAGTACTCTGAGTGTGACAAGGAGGGAGTATGAACGTTAGTGAGTACTCATGAGTGCGAGTAGGCGTGAGTATGAATGTGAGAGAGTGCCTATGAGTGGGAGTAGACGTATGAACGTGGGTGAGGGTGAAGGCTGAAAAAATTGTGGTGAGTGAGTATGAGTTAGTAGTCTCTCAAAGTGCCGACCTATGCACTGAAGTGAAACTTTTTGTTAGTTTTAAAGATGATTTCAACTAGAAAGAACAAGGGTGTGTGGCAGTACTCAAATTCTTTATTGGTCTACACTCGGCAACAGCTTTTCTTGACTAAAGTGTGCAAGCCACGGAACCTAAGTGCATGCTTGCTACCGCGCCATGAAAGAGTGCTTTAATTTGCTGACATTTTTCTCACTGGCCTTGCTGAAATAGATGCTGTTTTATTTATCATGACTTGAACACTTGTGCAACCTTGAGGTAAAATACAGTTATTGTTTATTTTGCTGGAATACCTTTCTTCTCTTTCCATTTATTGGACAGCACCACTTTTTCAGCACGCCCATTTCCCAAAGTAAACATGGCATCTGTTACGGAGCCAGTCAATGTGTGGCTGCAAACGCGCTGTTTAGTTAGTTCTCCAAGAAAAATATACTAGTATACGGCACTAAAGTGTGCACTGAACCATTCAAATGTTTCTCCCATTCACTTTGTCGTGTATATAGTTTTCTAAGCTCCCCAACGATGTCAGTGAGGAAAACTGAAATCACCCGCAAGCTGTCGTACTACTTGCAGAGCAGCAGGAATGTGTGCAAGCTACGTCTACAATGCCTTTGCTCCAATGTCAAGATATGTTCCCGCCTAGTATAGTGTACTTGACTTCATGATGTAAAACCTCAAAATTTAATTTTCTAGAAATTGACATGAAAATTAAAGATGTAACTTGAGTGGGCCAATCTTCATCTTTATGTTTTGGCCAGTAAAAGGATGTTTACAGAAAGAATTGTGAGAGGACGGTTACTTTCACCATTTCAGAAACAAAAAAAGGCTTATTATGTCATTTATAAGGTTTACTTTAGTAATGAAAACCAACTTGACGGGAAGTAGTGTCCTTGAACAGTTTTTAGGTGGGGGAAGGTGAATTTGTGTAGAAGTCGTGCTCACAGAGAAACTAAAAAGCAGTGATTTCATGAGCATTGATAGGCGCTGAAGACATTATGTTCAATAACCAAGACATACAGTCAGTTTAAGGAGAAGGAAATCGGAAAAATTGCAACTGTGCAGTTATATTCTTGTGACACCGCACATGTAATGTCATTTGTAGCGTATTACATTCAAAACGAACATCATTGGGATCTTGCATTTCGGGTCTACACAGCTATGTGAAATGGCATTTGCCATTGATGGCAATGTTTATCGGTAGGCTGCTGTGGTACTAAAAAGTTACAAGTCGCGCATTTAATTTTCCTAGCATTGTCCGGCTAATTCAAAATATACTGCGACATCATAAAACAGTATCATTGGAAAAAGTTCTCGTGCGTGAACAAAGCAAGACGAGCTTGAAGGTGCTCGCAACTGGCAGCCAGTAATACTTGGTGTCGGGAAAGCGATGAATGATGGTAAGTGGAACGAACGTTAACTGCTCTCGAGTTGTTGCAAATAAAACATGGAAACCAACAAAAGCAGCTCAAACTTGCTGTTGAAGAAGATTACAGATGATGAAGCATTTGGAGCTGTGCCTACATGCCAATACTTTTACGTTGGCTGCTCTTCGCGCTTCGACGACGTTGGCGATGAACGAAAACTGTGTTGCTTCCCTAGAAAGGAAAGTGGGTTTGAAAATGCACTCTCTAACCCTGTGCTCAATGCGTGCATAGGTACTCTGCTGCTAGTGAGTGCAATAGTGGCGTGCTTCACCAAAACAACAGCGAGTGTTTGTAAACATTGTTGACAGTAGGCACTAGTGTCAAGTCCGAGTTGGGGAAAGAAACTGTAGCTGCACACATTCCTTCCTCTATCACATTGTACGTTAAAAGTTACCATAAAGTTAGCAATGACTTTTAATGAACATATGAACATCGTTTACACTTGCTTCAAGATATGGATTTTGTCATCTCTTGTTAAGCGTCTGTTCTTGAGATTACGCATGTTGCGCTTGCATGAGTTCGGTGAACACATTCAACAAACGAATGTCATTATAGGTCGGAATTTCATTCGCTATGCCAGTGTAGCAGCAACAAAAGTGGCATTAACACCCTATGTCATTCGCAGCGAAAGGTCATTGACCTAAGAAGTGCTGTGTGACAGGGTTTTTAAACAACAGTTGTGAATTAGTACAGTCTCAACGCAAAAAGATTAGCACAAGTGACAGATAGCCAGTGCGGTAAAATTGCAGTGCACAGGGCTTTTGTACCCAAGCACGCAGGTGGTGAGAGTGCCAAGCACGTTCTATTTTCCGAAGCAGGTGTGGCCAGCAGAAAGCACTTGAACAGACGACTTTCACTTGAAACGATAGCTTGCTTGTTGCTTATTGGTAAAAGCCACACACCAATGTTGCTGTAAATGTGAGTTCATTTCTTGGGTTTTTTTTTCCTTCACTCTAGATAACGGCCAGACAGACCGCTTTTCTGCTGACCCCCCCCCCCCCTCCCCCCCTTCTCTTGCCCCAGAAAATAGAATGTGCTTGGCACTCGCTGTCGGAATGCTCGGCACGGGCCGCAATTTTCGCGCTCCGGCCGCAAGTCACTTGTGCTAATTTTTTCTTTTGTGACTGTATCTAGTTGGAGCCATCACTTATAGTCATAGGTGAGGTGACCAAGAACAGCTGTTGTATAATTGAATCTTGGGCAGTGCTCCTGTCACGTGAATGTCGCTCAGTGCACAATTAATACTGCTCGGCATCGAGCTTGTGCACTGCTGGCCTATTTGTGCAGGAAGGAGACGGGAAGAAGTTGTGGTCATCAGATTTGATTCTGAGCTTCATTGTAAGAAACAGCTCTCTTTGAGAAATCTGAATGGCTTACCTCTTACCTCTTAGCTTCTGGCTGCAGATTGATTGCCGAATGTCAGTTTTCTCTTCCATAATCAATTATGCATCTTCTGCCATCTTTATTGTCCATGTCTTTCTACTTAATTCACTTTGCTCTAACAACTGCTGGTCTCATGGTTAGCCGTATAGGCAGAGCGTTTCCCCAGGAAAGGTTCCACACTCAGTCAGACCAAGACAAATTTTATTCAGCTAAGGAGCTTCTTTTTCTGACAAATTTTCACGATTTTCTTAAAGCTTCAGGCTAGAAACATGTGGACATTAGTTTTTCCTTTGATGAACTGTGGGTACTGCCCCGGAAATACCAGTGTCTCACAAATAATTCTTGATCCTGATTGAGCTCTGCCAGTGTCTAAGTTCTTTTATTGCGGTTGGCCTACTCACAGAAGCAGTTGCGGTTGAGAAATATAATCTGATTTGGGCTCTGTTGCAATAAAAAATGACCGTTTAAGCTGATGTAACATGAAAAGTAATCACTGTTACATCTGCAAAACGAATAACGATCAAAATGCTTGATGCGTAAAAAGACAGGTACTAGTTTATATGAACCCACCTGAACACAATTTATTAATGGAGGCTGTTTCATATATAAAACAAGCAGTTTCAATATTACGAAAACTTGGATTTCCCTTTGTACACCTGTGCTTGCAATTTAATGAGACAACGCAAGGTGTGTGTGAGCTGTGATAAATCTTTGTATGTAACCATCTAATTTGTTGTAAATATAAGTGTTTCACTACAGCTTAATTGTCTCTTCATAGACCTCTGCAATAGGTGGCAATAGTTTTTTTGAACACCTTGTTTTCCTGAAAAGAAGGCTAGGATATTATCTGCTGCGCCATTGATAATTTAGCTCATACTCTTTTTTTTGCAATAATGCTGTCAATGTAAGGGATTGTATAAATTCAGCACAATTTGCAAAGAACATGAGTTAAACGGCTTGTTGCACCTCTGTCATTTCAGTATGTCTCTTCAGCATGTAAATTGTTTTTTGCCTGTGAACCACTTGGCATGAATCCATGCTAGCTAGTCAACCTTGCACTTCGTACACGAGTACCTTCTTTTCTTTTAGCCAGTGCTATGCTGTCAACTCATAATTGCCTTGTCATGCTACAAAATTTATTGCTTTCTCTGATTAGTTTCTATCTGCAGAGGAGTAAACATAACAGTGTGAATTGCTTGCCAGTCTACGTGACCTAGTGGCATCATGCTTTATCATGTCTCTCTGCAGGTCTTGGTCAAGATGCCATGCACATATACAACATGTACATTGCTCAAAACGCACCTCTTCCGATTGGTGTTCCAGATGACCTGCGGTGCCGCATTCAAGGTGAGGCTCAGTCGACGGAATCCTACCTAATAAATTAAAAACCATAATACACATAAGGATGTTGTTCAACTTTCTGCGTGGCACAGCTCCACATTTGGCGAAAAATTGTTGAAGTTAAGCTCAGCTTGTTGACGATACTTTGGATTTTGTTTGTATAGTGCCATTAAGCTTCACTTATAAAATAAATAGCTGAGGTTTTGTAATAATATGCAATTACATTATTGCCTATGTTTACTTTAGAAAATATTAGGCAGCAATAAGTTTTGCAATTCTTTATTAGAGTTAAGATGTTTGTCACAGAAATAGTTAAGCAAAACGAAGGGTTTTGAGAAAGAGACAAATGAAGGGATAAAAGATCGTTTGGAAAATTGTGGGACACTTAAGCTTTGCTTTTAAGAGTTGAACGCAATAGCGAAATCTGGCCCTTAGTGCGTCCTTCAATCGCTAAGTGCTTATATATTAATATGTTTGTTACACACACACACACACATGCCCACACATACGCACACAAACATGAGCGCACAAGCGCGACGTATCTATAGTAATGCAGTGACTGTGCAGTGTGGCCACTTCCTTCTGCTAGAACGGCACTCTGCTGAAGTCGAGACAGTGCCTCACAGATGGCACGCGCACACACGCATGTTAATGGTACATACAAGTTTTTGATCAAAAGCAAGAGTCCCATGGCCTCCAAGATACACGCCACACGCTCACCATCTCGGAGGCTATAAAGAGTCTCGTGACTACAAAACTACGCAAAAAAGCGACAAGAAACGGAGGAGGTACACACACAAGCGTAGTGTATGTGCGTGTGCCTTCTCTGTTCTGTGCTGCGCTGGCCTTTTTCTGCGTAGTTTAATGGCCTCCCAAATGTGCCTACAAATAGCCTAATGGTCTTGTTTTCGTCGTGACACCTTTCAAACAAAATGCGCTAAGGAGGCTCCTTCCACTGCATGGCATTTATGTACAGTAGTGTTTTGTCCCGAATCAGCTGCAAGTAAAATTGTGGCTTTGTACTAGAACACCTGCTTACCACCCGAACGGCCCGGGTTCGATCCTCAATGGGACCAAAAATTTTATTCTTTATTTTATTTGCTTCTTTCTCTGTTTTTCGCTCACTGCCAATGGTGTTAAAAAGTGCCAATGGTACACAAGAAAGTACACAAGTGTCACAGTAGTACACAAGCGTCAGTGGTACACACAAAATGCCGATGGCATACAAGAGTGGAAATGTAGAAGATTTGATGAAGTACATGCACAAATCAGCTTGCTCTCAATATTCTACAAAATGGCCATGAACATAATTTTGAATTGGGTTAGATGAGCACTTGAAGGTAATAAACGTGGAGAGATCACTGGTTGCAGGAAGGGATACTCTACGATAGATCACAGCCATGTGGTTCATGAGCAGGGAATTTTCTCAGTGCTACAAATCTCTTTATATAGATTTAATTTACTAAAAAGATAAAGGATTTCAAATTGGTATAGACACCCGCTGTGTTGTAGGCATTGCATCATGAAAGAGGACTAAACACGCACGAATACTTTAACTGACATACTAAAACTGCCACCTTGCTTCTCGAGTAGACAAACAAAGGAACTATCAGCCTGAAGGATGTCTCAACTAACAGAGTGCTGTGCGGGACGCGCAGCACAGTCACAGCGAAAGCTGGAAGAGCGGACTTTCAAAGCCTTTTCTAAACACTTCTTGGGTAACAGCTGTAAGCACACTTGCTGGATCCCCACTTTGCCATAAATAATCATAATTTTTTAATAGTAGGCCAGCATTCATCATGCTATCCTTCATCATTCTTCGGAGAAGTGTAGTATCTGCTACACGCTTGCTAGGAATTTTGTGCAATTTTCTATGCAGTGGCTGACGACAACGAAGAATTATACCTGAAGTGTGTATGCACCACGGTTAATAAGTTATCAAGAACATCGTGATGCGACCACAATAAATTGGAAAACTGGAAACATAAAAAACGCCAGGCTGGCACGGGATGCGGAACACAGTCACAGCGAAAGCTGGAAGAAGCTTTCGCTGTAAAATGCTACTCAGGGGGACCGCCAAGATTTGAAGAACCGCCAACCGAGCCGCTGGTTTACAGTATCATAAGAAATCTTGTACCGTTCCCTTCCCTCTTTTTTTTTCTTATGCTTGTTCTTAATCTGGTCAGGACAGTGCTTTTCTGTTGTTCTTAGCTCATAGTATGCACTGTTTCATGGAAATACCACTTAGGGTGCTGAAGACAGGTAGTTACAAGAAAAGCAGCTGCTATATCAAAAAAATATTTTACAAAATGCTGTATTTGTTCCTTGAAGCACTGTCTTTTTCTGAACTCTGCTCAGAGCTCATCAAAAATAGCCATGCTATGTCCAGAATGTGGAGTGATGAATCGGTCTAGTTGGTGGTAGTTCGCAATCTCTTGCTGCGCTGTGGACGATGAGATGAGGATGAGATGGCGACTACAGGACAGGTGGCGGGTAGCACCTGTCCTCGAGCTACAGCATTAAATGTAAAAATATTTGGATGGATGAGAAAAAAAAAAGATTTTGACACATATCTGCAGTGTTTGTGTTGTGATCTTCGTCCTAGTCTCTTCATAAAAGTGTTGCAGTTTCTCAAGTACAAACTACCATTAACTCACTCAAGCTGTTGGGGTTGCACGGAGGTGCCATTCTTTTTTAAAGTGCATTAAATCATAGCAGCTCTCTTCACCCATTCTAAACTTAATTTTCAGGTAGGGTTTGGGGGGGGGGGGATTTATTTGTTTTTCAATTGTTCTGGTTGGATCATCTTGCGCTGCTTTAATGTCTTGAGTTTGCCAAGCCTTTCTGACAGCTTTGGCAGCGGCAAAACCTATATGACAAATCTTGGCCATTAAACCGTTGCTGCCGTGGGTTATGGACTAATCTATTTTCCTGGGGCTTTCCAGATTCTGTGTCTCGAAGCCCAGTTAAGCCGGAATGCTTTTTTGAGGCACAGCAGTTTGCAGTAAACCAAATGGAGAAAGAGTAAGTGCTGGAGTTTTTGTTTGCTTTTCAACCAGTCTACTAGTTGGTTTGTGTGACAAACCAGTTACCACTGAAATGCAAAAGAAATTTTTTTATCTGTGCAGTACTGTATTGGTGAGCTGTGTAGGAGTTCTTTCAGACAAATTTGCAGTGTGGGTGGGTCATTCCATTGCATGATACTAGTAGCTTTTAAAAGGAAGCTTCTCTCTAAAAGAGTTGTACCGTAAAAACCGGAATATAGGTCAACCCCCCAAACTTTGATTCTCCAAAAAAGAAAATTTAAGAAACTTCAAAGTATCGGGACACACCCTTACCTTGGTAAATACGCGACACAACCAGTTGCACTGTGGTGACATATCTTTTTATTTGGGTACTAATCTTATGTAGCTTTTTTTTTGCACACTAACGCTAGAAGACCACAAAGTGCTGTCACTCAGACTCGTCGGAACTTGAGTCTGACTACGTCTGTTTTTCTCTGGTAACACTCCAAAGTGCATCGTCTTCAGTTCCATCCAATGCGTTACTGATAGAGCATTTGCAGAAAGACAAGCACGCCACCTCAGCGCAAAGCCCTTCCGCTTCATAAATCGGCACACCCACGATGGTTATCCCTTGAATTGCTCCCTCGTGAGCCCAGAGTCCTGTGCTATCTGGAGTTTTCTCATGGATGCACTCCGCTGTTACGGGTAGCGACCTTTCACACAGTTCCTGGACGAATTCGGCGAGTAGCGTTTCCAGTTCAGGGTACTCCGCAGTCCATCCATGAAACGATGTTTTTTTTTTGTTGTTGTTGCTGCAGGATGTAATGCACTGCTTTTAGCTGCTCCATTTAATATCAGACGCTTTTCTCCAAGGCATCGAACTCCTGTTGTGCTGCCAGCTTTCCGTGCGCTTCGGCATACTCAATAACTTTTTCTTATAGCCTATCATAAACTGCTGTTGACCACCACTTATTTCTGAAGGAAATGGAAAAGAGAAGACAGCAGACTGACAGCAGATAACCGAGGCAAAATGGCATTTCTAGAACACTGTAGGCTTCGCCTAGCCTTGCTCAACAGCACCGTTACTGATGATCACGATGGCAATGAAGGCTTTCGGCTTCGGAGGCCAATTGTTGTGAGACTTCCGCATTTTTTTCTGTCAATGACCAATATATAAGACGAGGGTCGACTTATAATTGCGCTTTTTTTTTTAACTTGATCTATATTCTTGTTATTACGGTACCAGATTTACTCGAATGTAAAGTGAGTTTTTTGTTAGAAGGGCCAGTGTAGGGGCTAGTTGGTTTATTGCACGCTGTATTTTTTTATTTTTCCTTTCACCCTATACATATCTATCATGGTTTCATCGAATAAACAGTTTTTAGTTTGTGCTCATGTGTGTTCTAATTGTACCTCCGTGTGTCTTTTTTTTTGTGTGTGTGAAATTTAGCACGTCGCAACTGTCAACCAAGTTTTTTTTTCTTTTTTCTCCCCCGAGATTTTTGCTATCTGAATTCAACCTATGCATTTGTGTCCAATACCTAAATTCAATTTCTCTGATCCGTGCAATGGTGCGTGCACTTCTTTTTTATTTTACTTTATGTTTTTCCCTGGACTTGATGAAAAGTCGCCCCTCGCATTTCAACTGTGGTCGCATTACAAACGAATGAATAAGGTACCATCATGAGAACTACAACAGGGAACAAGAGAGCATGTGACAAATAGCCGTAAACCCCAGTTCAATCAATTATCAGATAGCACGGGGTAAAACAAGGTGGAAAGTGCAGCACTTTTCAAGAACTGTCATGCTTCTCGTTTTATGATATGCAAAACATATATCGAAAATAATATCTTTATGTTGTTGCCCCTGTTTTAGCGCTCACACAAAGCAAAAGGCTTCTTTTCTTTAAATCATGCTATGTTGCTTGTTAATTTTATGTGCTGTACACACATACATAAGCAGATGGAATTGACATTAGTGGCATTTATTAAGCCATGTTTGCTAAGACTAATCTTTGTATATGAGAGTAGATCTTGGCAACACTGTAAAATACCTACGTATACATTGCTCTCTAAGCTTCAAGATTCAATCGTAAAGCAAATAAAAGCTTAGCTTTGGAACTTACCGGGCTTACGGTCATGACGACGTCATAGATTTGAAGCAGATGGAAACCGCGTTCACAGGTGCCGTCACGTTCACTTTTTTTACTGGCACTGAATTCTGCTTCCTTTTACTTGCCCAATGTACGTGCGCAGGCACTATGATGGCGCTGAGCAGACGACGTGGTGCAGGCGGAGAGATATTGAGCAGTGCTGCCAAAGGCCACGTTCCGGGAACTGAAAGGCCAGGTGCATGTAGTGCCATCTCATTTAAATTGTGCAATTCAGCTGCGGAAAATCGTCTTTGGCATACCCCTTTTTACTTGCAAGCAGCCTGCAATGCATAGTCAGCTGCTCTTTATCGGAAATGGCGAGCTGTACACGCATACATTTAGTGGGACATTTTCCACATCGCCACTGCCACATATCGCTACAGTGATGGCTGCTAATCCATGCCTTAAGTTTGAGGCTATTCAACACGCACTCGTATGTTGCCACTCGTACTGCTCACGTACATGTAATCATACTGTGGTTCATGCTCAGACTGGGCTGCAGTGGCATTCACTTTGTCATGTCACTGGAGTTACGGCAGACTTTTACCTTTAAAACAAAGCTTGCTATTCGATATCTTTAGAGGATGTGATTCGTGGTAGTAGTTTGTTGATAATATGATGGTGGTGGGTGCAACAGGATAGGCATTGAGAAAAGGAAGGCTGCCAGGGTGTTAAGTACACTGACCAGTTGGCACAAGCAATGACTGTATCGAGGTGCAGTGACGAAGTGGAGTCAGCACATGTGCCTAAAGGTGGAGTTATACGCCGATGGTAAACCTGCCATGACTGCAGAGTAGATGGAGGGATTCACGTAGCCCGATTACATCAAGTGCATGAAATATGCTCATCGTTGTGCAGTCAACTGTTACTGTACTTTATGCAGTATTACTTGAATTATTGATGTTTTGCTGTCCACTTTGTAGCTTGTACCCAAGCTTTCTTAGGAGCCCGTACCACTGCAAACACCAGGTGGATGTGCTCACGAGCGGAAACGTGTCGCTGGCCGACATCTTGTACAACGATTCAGCACTTTTCTACTTCATGGAGGTGCGTATATGCACAAACTCATGCTCCCATACGGAGATCAACGCACTGTATTGCTTTTGGTGGTCCTCTTAGTAAAACTAATTGTTGGGCTAGTTGTTGCATGCTTATTAAAATATAAAAAAAAATACTTGTATCAAGGAAAGATCGAGACAGAAAAAAAAGGGCTTCCTTTTTTGTTCTGTCCCCAGTCTTTGTTACACTTTTTCTGTATTTCAGTGATCATAGGCCTATGTTATGTACAGCCAATGTCATATGAGAACCAACAATATTATTGCCACTTTTTTTTAACATAATATACGGTCCACCAAGACATTTAAGTGACGCATTCCCGTCATGGAAATGATGTCGAAAAAATGCACACAGACGGCTAAGAAAGAAAGAACACCATCAACAGTAGTCGAACCCACGGCCCCTCAGCACACGACAACAGGTGCCGGGCTAACATCCACTATATTATGGTCACGCACTCGGGAGAGCTTTACAAACGCAACTTTTGTATCTTCATTTTCTCACTCGGCGCTCTTGGTTGGCGAAGTGGTGCTGCCCTCTGGGCGCGATAACGTAAAGTGATGCATCACGACCGTGGCCTCTGTGATTGGCTCCCTCAACGCATCATCATTGTGCCTCTGTCCTCCTTGATGAGTTTCCATTAGGAGAAGTGCAATTTTGTCAACGTCTTATCATACTGCGAGGAAGTAATCTTAGCCCAAGCATCAGCCTTACTCATAGCATTCATCCATGCCTGAAATAGCTCTGCAATGCGCACTTATCTTCCCTGACTGTAGCACCTCATTCCCTGCTTACGCTCATCCCGAGAGGAATCACAGCTAGACTACAGGGGAGGCATGAAAGTGCAGTGCGTTACCCACAAGTTCGGCATTGGCGCCCAATAACTCTTTAACATGCCGCGAGATGGCGGCCTTAACCCACATTTTGCATACAATCAGTGACTGTCTTTGGGCTGTCACACCTTTTTTTTTTTTTTTTTTTTTTCAGATTATGCTCTCACTGTTAACTGCAACAGCTACCATAAGTGTTTGTTTAGTCATTGATCATGAAGATAAGTTGTCGAGATAAAGATGTATCATCAAGCCTCAGCAGGATCCACGTTACAGGATGCTATAGCTGCCAAACAACAAAAGACTTTGTGCAAGCGCTCTTTTATCAGTCAACAGTAAAACTTAAACTTGTTTTTTGAGGACACATTTTATTTTTGTGTTAAGGTGACGAAGGGATCCGCCATGTTTTTTTTTTCCTTCTCTTTAAATGCATGGGAAGGACAAAAAATGTTCATGTATTTACTACCAGGGCTGTGTAGAATTAGAGAGAAGCATTTATACAAAACACCTCTTTACAATACAGTGTATTCACAAAAGAAACAATGTGTTCTGTAGATTTAGTAGTGTTGGACATTCCATGTACACAATGTAGTCGCTCAATAAATTTTTAAAACATTAATATACTTGTAAGCAAGCTTGCTTGAATTTTGGATAGGACAAGAGAAGTGCATGGCTAAAATCAACCTAGAGACCAAGCTGGTTTCAGAAAGGGGTCCTCCACAATGGATCACAACCATGCATTGAATCGGTTGAGAAATGTGCTAAGTTCAGCAAATTGCTCTGTATTACTTTGGTAGACTGTTAAATGCATTCAGCTCAATACATACACGAGCAGTTCTGAGGCAATGTGTTGTCAAGAAACATACATGAATAGATTGGCTGTTGTTGCAGACAAAGCATTCTATTTAGTATGCACAATTGCAGCGGCTGCTCTACAAGCAGTTCTCATTGTCTTTTCATATGTATTTATCTAGCTGTTGGTCTGATAAGTCATGAACATACTTGAACTTACCCAGCTTTTACGTGTTCTGAAGATATATTTGTGCAATGCTTATAGTGAAGTGCAGCGCAGGTGGGCTTTCACACTGTGCACTCGCTGGTCCCAATGTTCTGTTGATTGTTGCGCTCGGTTGTTCAGTTTATGGAGCAGGAGCAGAGCCGACACCTGGTGGACTTTCTGCTCATGGCGGATAACTTTAAGAACCAACTGTTGGCCAAGGGAAGCTACAACCCGACTCAGGCCCAGGACGATGCCATGGTCATCTACGACAAGTGAGTTCCGACAGACTACTTGTTGTGCTCTGCTACGCTAGGTTGCAGGCTCTAAGGTGGAGCTATCTAATAATGCGGGCTTGTGAATATCGAATTAGGTGGACTTTGTATTGTCTGAAATGAATCCACATAGTACTAGTTAAGGCAAACTCTCTTGTTACACTGTGCTTAATTCAGACTAGGGTCTTAAGGTAAAACTCTAGGTTGAAATTTTTATTGCTAGCTTTGAGACAGCTTATTGAGATCTGAGTGTATGATAGCCAACATATGCAATGCCTTCTTAATGCCAGTTCAAAATTTGGGTAATGCAGAATAATTCTTAATTTTAACAGTTGTGAGAAATTTTTAATTTACACATTATATTCTTTGCATTTTTTAGCACTTTGGCTTTCTTGAGTGAGACACATTAAACAAAAATGGTTGGTTAGAAACTAATGTAGAACAGAAAAGTGCTATAGTGCAACTCCATTAATTTAGTTCATTTAGTATTTTGCAGTGGATTTTTACGGGATTCAATCATAAGAAGGCATCCCTGCAGCAGTTTGTTAGAACGGGCAATGTGAAACCTCAGATTATCATGTTGCAGGAAACTCTGACATCCAACGTAACCTTGACCGGTTTCAAAGCGGAGGTTAAAGATAGTGAAAAGGGCAGGCGGCTCGCAGCACTTACAGCAGAAGGTTGGGGTATGTTAGGCCTGATCTTCACATGGCGGATTGCAGGATTGAATATATAATGGTCGAGGTGATTTTAGGTCGGCAAGGAGCAAGTCAGAGGAGTGTTTACCTGCTTAACTTGTGCAGCAGCCCCAGTGACACGAAACAGAGTTTCAAAGCTCTCTTGAGCAAGGCAGCCAATCTCGCTAAGGATGTATCATTGCATATTGGAGGGGACTTCATGCGCCCTATTATGTGTGGAAATATGTCTATAGCGCAACCAAAGGCGAGAAACTATGGCAACAGGCCCTAGACTTAAATTTATCTCTTCGTATCCCACTCGTTGCGGCACGGTGACATTAGAGATTCGACACCAGATCTTACTTTTGTTCGTTGGGTGGCGGATTCGTCATGGTCAAATTCAAATAAGTCGAGCCAGCTTATAACGAACCTGAGCGTGACGCGGCATCCATTCACTGTGTCCCGAAGTTCGTAGTAAATGAAACACAGCTTTTTAAAAGAGTTGCGAGTGAATACACAAACTTTTTTTCCCCAAAAAGTCCATGATGCATGTGTTTTGAAGAACAAAAGAGATAAGGACGGTCTCGAGTACATTTAAAACGGCAGGGTGATCGTTCGCCGAGGCCCGTGGCATTACTGCATGAGGCACTGGCTCCAAAGTTTTGTCGTTCTCGTAATCCAATTCCTCCAAATCGCTCTAGCTACGCACTTCATTCACAATGCCCCAATCCGTGCACGGTTCTGCAGTGTCTGCATATCATCGGCTGTAATTAAACCATCGTAACAGATGTCCCACCCGCTCTACCAGGTCGGAGTCGACGACACGCGGCCACAAATCACCGACGCAGTTGAAAAGCTTCAGGCTCGGCATCGGGCCCGACGTCAACGAAGTCGGCCTCGCGAAAACAGTTTCACGCGCATGTAGCTGTCACCGCCGCCCACAATATATTCATCATCTCCACAGCTGAATACAGGGACGCCCGAAGCGGCAAGTTAGCTGCCAGGTGGTCAACAGCTATGAGCAGGGACTCCGCAACACGGCACCTAACACAGGGATTACGCTCAAGCCAAACGGTCACACTTTGGACGTTTTGTTGAGCGGCAGGAAAAGGCGTGCTAGTCCTCCCGTCGGCCATCATGAAAACACACGCACACCAAGAGCAAGCAAGTCACGTACACGCGACACACATGCCAGAACGCATGGAACAGCTCTGGGCCCGTATCCAGTCAGAAAACGAAACTAATTCGAGCCAGCGTGGCGGGCGTCGCGGAGCGGTGGAGACGGGCGAAGGGGTTGTTATCAAGAGAAGAAAGCAGACTTGCGAGGGAAGGGCAAGGAGTTGCGATAAAGAGAGGAGAGGATGCGGCGGGAGGGCAACCTTGAAAACCAAAACACACGGGAAGGAGGCAGGTTGGGTAGCTTGCTTGAGGTCTGCGAAACTTGCACGTAGAAAAACTTGGAAAGAGTGCATGGCCGCCTGAATCTGTGCGGGCGGCTGTGTTCGAAGAATCGGCGGCCGTGGTCAAAAATCGTTTTTTGCGCCGGCGAGTTTGCGTGGCCTCACGAACTTCGATATTTCGTGATTCGTTCCACGCAAAATAACAGCCGTTTTCGCGCTTCCGCACGCGCGCGGAAGGCATGCTGAGCTGAGTGCGAAGTGAGCGAAAACAAGTCCTAAACACGAAACGAATCCCAAATTATCAGAGTTGGTGAAATAGCGTACGCGCGTGAACAAGACGCGGACTATCGGATACAGTCGGTGGCCGACGATGTTGGCAAATGGTCTGGTCACTCCAGGCCGGCGGCGCCAACGACAGTACCAGCGATCAAAAACAGGGTAGATGGCCGACTGGTCTTTGAAAGATCGGTGGCAGTGTGAAAACACGGGCCTCGTCTGTTGATGAGGGGTGCTCAGAGTAGCAAGGGGACAAAGGACGGAGGGTAGCATAACAAAAAGCGGTCGGGGAGAGCGGCAACTACAGGGGCGTGGAGGCAGGGTCGGCGTTTAACAATAAGAATGTATGGGCACCTCTGCGATGCCTGATCGGTGGTCAAAATTGGTGTCCCCGGAAAGTCGGCAGACCGCTGACTCCGTTCACTGTAACCGATCAACGGCGCTCGGAGACGTTCGTTGTAAGTGCGATTTTGTGCCATTGAACCAATGTATATTTTCACGGTCACACGGATATAGTTCGTTTTAAGCGAAAGTTTGTTTTAAGTGGGGCCGTTACATGTGGGCTCGACTGTATAGATTTTGGCAGCGATCATTACATACTTATGATTACTTCAGAGGTGGCTCCTAAAAAGGAGCGAACATTTAAGCTTGTTGACTGGGATGCATTTAGTAAACGGAGAGGACAGAGAAACGAAGGGGAATGAGTTGACCTTGGAACAGTGAACTAGTCAGCTCAAGAGTGACGTTGAGGCAACCACTAAGGAGCTATAGACACAAATCAAATGGATAGTCGTCTGGCATACTTGTTGGAAACGAAGCAGTCACTGTTGGCGAGATGGAAGGGTCAGCGTTTGAAAAGAAGGCTTAGAAAGTGTATAGCGACGGTTAATGAAGAAATTGAAAACCACTGTCGGGTATTGTGCAAGCAGCAATTGGATGAAGTATGCAATTCTGTGGATGGTGGTATTAAAAGGGGGGCACCTGGAATTTACTCAGACATTTACTGGATGAGATCAATTCTAAGTCTAATCAGAGGACGGTGATAGGTAAGCTGGTTCATGAGGCCTGCCGAAACTCATCAGAGGAAAAGGTGCTGAAGAATTTGGCTGAGAGATACCTTCCACTGCAAACCTGCCAGAATACATCTGACGTCCATTTGGAATATAGTGGGGATGAGAATATATTTATGGATAAGGAATTTACTGAAAGTGATATAAGGATGGCATTGCAGGATCTTAATAGTCGATCGGCATCAGGGCGGGATGGCATTTCTAATAAAATGTTAAGGAATTTAGACGAGGGGCCTATTGAGTTCCTTACGCGGGAGATAATTAGCCGATGGAAGGATGGATCTTTCCCAGAAGAGTGGAAACTTGAGACTACTCTTCTCATACCAAAACTAGGCAAGAACGTGGGGCTGGAATATCTCAGACCAATTTCTCTAACATCGTGTTTGGGGAAAGTCGCTGGGCATGTCATTTTAAATAGGTTAACTCGTTATGTTGAGGACAATGGGGTCTTTTCGCACTCGATGATAGGTTTTCGTCTTGGCCTTTCGACTCAAGATGTCATGCTTAGGATTAAGCATTACCTACTTGATCGGCAGACAAGGGATACTAAGGTACTACTTGGACTTGATGTGGAAAAAGCTTTCGACAATATTCGATACTCCTTCATTTTACTGGTGCTGTCAGACTTGAATTTAGGGCAACGGCTTTTTCTCTTTGTTAAGGCTTTTCTTGAGGATAGAAGGACATGTCTCAGGTTGGGGGAGATCAAGTCTTCGGTCTTCAAATAGGGTTGTAGTGGTACACCACAAGGATCCGTACTCTCGCCAATGTTGTTCAATCTGGCGATGTCAAAGCTAGCTAACGTACTGGACGCTGTTGAGGGTATTGGCTATACTATCTACGCGGACAACGTCACAGTATGGAGTGTCGGTGGTAGTGACGGAGAGCTTGAGGCTAGGCTGCAGGAGGTGATAACACTTACGGAAAACTGTTCGGCTCGTATGGGACTCAAGTGCTCCTCTGAAAAGTCAGGGTTGTTGACCTTCAAATCGAAAAAGTTAGGTCGTAGGCCGAAGAATTGGGTAACGGAAGTTGACACTTGCATCACAGTTCGTTCTAGCAATGGGTCATGGGTACCAAAACTAGATGCTCTTAGGGTCCTTGGTTTTGTAATTCAAGCAAACGAATTGTATAATATAACTATTCAGCGTATTACCAAAAAGACACAGGAGGTCATAAGACTTATCCGAAGGATCTCTGACAGGCATAGAGGATTGGGAGAGGAAGATGTGATGTGCTTGGTTTACGCATTTATTTTGTGCCATTTTTCATGCGTAGCTGCTATGATAAATTGGAAAAAAGGGGAGAAAGACAAATTGGAAGCTTTAATTAGAAAGGCCGTTAAGGCGGCGCTTGGTTTTCCTGTGAGTACATCAAATGATATGTTGTTGCGGCTGGGTTTGCATAATAGTCTTGATGAAATTGCCGAGGCTCAGCGTATAGCACAGAGAGAGCGGTTGCTGGGTACGCCAGCTGGTAGGTATATCTTACAGTCAATAGGAGAATCGGTGGCGACTCGTGGTGGTGCGCGCCTATACGAGTTAACCATGAACATCAGGGCTAATATCATGGTTCGCCTGTCTCCGCGAAATATGCACCCTGTGCATAATGTTGGGAGGCGAATGGCGACAGCTAGGGCTTTGTTGCGCGAGTCAAAGGATCAGGAGGGAGAGTCTGCGTTTGTTGACACAGCATGAATTAACGGGAAAGATGCTTACTCGCTGGTGGTGATAGATGAAAAAGGGCGCGTTCGAAATGCCGCTTCCATTTATACGAAAGATCCGGGGGTCGCTGAGCAGGTGGCTATTGCCCTAGCACTCATTGATTCGGAAAGAGTTTTAGTATTTAGGGACTCTCGCTCTTGTTACACTTGGCCCGGCAATTCGTCTGGGCAGACGCCCTTGTGCGTAAGCCGGCCTACTGGGGAGGCTTTCAACCCCATCGGCAACCAGTCTGCAAGACGCTGTCCAGTAGATGTTCCAGGAAACAGTCTGGTCCCAACGGAAGCTTCGCGAGGCAAGCCTTTCGTTGAACGGGCTCGTACAGCGGAGGAACGGCGCCACGGTGGCGGGCCTCCTTAGGACTCGGCTTTTGTCAACTACGTGAGGCCATCTCGGCGCACCGACTGCCCGGAAGCGTGGGAGCGCGTCCAAGAGACCGTTCACCGGAATTGGGCGTTGGGACTGCCTGAAGCTGAAAGTAACGTGGACCGCTGTTGACCGTCGAGTTAGCGGCCATCTCCCCGGAGGAGTGCAACTTTCCCTCTCCAGACTATATCTCCTTGCCCTGTGGTGCCTTCAAGGCGCAGGCCAGGTGCCTGTTTGTGTGGTGCGTTCCTGTTATCATTGGACCGTTTCGCCCAGCCGAGTGGCGCAAAATCTGCACCCTTTCTGGTGGGTGGACTCTTTCTGGTGCACCCTTTCTGGTGGGTGGACCCTTTCTGGTGGGAGACTTAGTCCCCTGCTGTGTGGCAAGAGTGATCAGTACCTCCTTCGGACGGCGGTGGCGGTGGGCTATAAAAGTCGAAGCATTTTTGTAAATAGAGCGTAATCGTGCTGAATCATGTGAGTTGAATCATGTAAGCGGAATCTTGTTCGGAATCATGAGCTGAACCTCTGTGTACATATTGCGGGATCTCTGGATCTCTGTACAGTTCCTTTCCTTCTTCAATAATGTAAATAAATATTTCGTTCTATCTTACGAACGCGTCTTCTCACTGGCGAAGATCAGCTATGCGGACGACGGCGGGGTGCCAGCTACCCTACAGAGAAATCCACCGTTCCTGCCATCAACTTCTTTACCCTTAACACTCTACAATTAAAGCCTTCTTGGGGGGAGTTATTAACGAACCGGCTTACAGACTGCTGCAGGGTAAGGACATCACTCCGCATACCATTATTTGGTTTCCGACGCACATGGAGTCAGTGTAAGGAGCCCCACGTAACCTCAACAAGGTGGCGCACAGGGTAGCACGAGGCTTAATGTGCCGTGCAATCCCTGAGGCGGCTGAATCTCCCGCTCCGGAGTTTAGGGACCGGCTATTGACGTACGATATAACCAAACATTATTACTTAGAGCGCAGGGAATTCCCCTTGTCGCATTCTAGACTCAACAGGCCACAGGCGGTTACATTAGGACTTCTGCAGACGTGGACGTACCCCAACCCGGTCGTCATGAATAAAGTTAACCCGGACTGCGGGATTTCGATTTATTATAGTAAGTGTGGGGGCTTGCACAATCTTGAAAACATGCTCTGGCGCTGCTCGGCAATGGCCGGTGTGGCTTCTCATGGTGAAGAGTGGTGGCAACGAATGCTGCACAGTGACGCACTGGCGGACCAACTCAGGCCTGTCCAGAGGGCCTGTGTGGCAGCAGAGGGGCTTAGCCTCTCTGTCCCGACGTGGGAGCAGCCAGCATCAGTCCTAGACTGATCCTCAGGACTTTAATAACATTTTCCATACCATACCAACCCCACTAATTTGAAGTGAAAGCGAATGAGAAGTATAATGTAGCTCAGCTTACAGAGGTTAGAATCTCACTTGATTTTGTACATAGGGCAGCAGTGCATGACATTTATAAACCAGAATTTTGCTTCTGTATGCATGTCAGATATTTGCAATATTGTACTTCACTGGCCTTGCAATACCATCTACAGGGGAAGATTGTTACTGTCAACACTTGGTTCAGCGAAACAAGATGAAGTGATGAAGGTTCATTCTACTCAGAATGGGGGCTGCAGTGTGCTGCAAAATGGTGAAACTTTGTATCTACCAATAATTCGAAGGTGACTCTGTTTCTGTGCAGGTACTTCTCGCTGCAGGCGACCAGTCCTCTGGGCTTCAGTGATGCGGTGCGGCTGGAAGTGGAGCAGAACATCTGCCGAGAGGAGGGGCCGCTGCCCTCGTGCTTCGACAAGCCTGTCCTGGTGCTCCTGCAGCACCTTGAGAAGAACCACCTCAAGTCCTTCCTATCCAGCCAGCTGTACGTCAAGTACATCTCCGAGTGCATCGTCACCATCCAGACAGCACAGAGCGACACAGACTCTCTGCGGCGAAAGAAGCGCTCGGGTGAGCATTTGTCAACTAAATTATGTCACAGTTGGATGAAAACATTTTAAAACTCTTCACTATAAAAGCCTAAACTCAACCTGAAAGAAGAACTTTTTTGCCTGCAAGCGGAACTCATTCAAGAAGTTTCCAAAAGGTTGCAAGCACTTTTTGCCTATTCACATTCTTGGAAATTAGATCTTGATAGAGCAATTTTGACCTTGTTTGAATAAAATTTCAGGGTCAACTTCAAGCAATGGAAATCATGAAAAAGAACTTGTGAGCCGTTTCACCCTGTCAATGTGGGTATCTAACGATACTTTTCAGCACAGGTGTCAGAGATCGTACAGCAGAGGGCCCATCAATGTTTAGGGCACCATGCAGAGCTTACTGCGTAAGTCAACGACGGCACTGCCGTCAAAATTATCAGTAAGTTTTATTGCAAGACACAGTGTGGGAAAGCAAGCTTACAATGACCAAGCCTCCGCAGGGGCGTCTGCGCAAGTAGGCATTTGGTGTGTAGCGACACCATGGACCCGAGCTAACGGGGGGTTTGGGCTCCCTCCCAGGCCTAGTTGTGCGTGGCTTTGCCGTGTCCAGGGAAGTGGGGATCCCAGGGGTTGAGCCGATGCCCGGTGATTAGACCTATAAGGCCCCCAGGCAGAGGCAACATACCCCTTTGGCCCTGGCTTCACGTAGACGGCACCTCTGAGCTGACCGCCCAGGGGAAATTGGCAGTTGCCTTTTTCTATATCTCTCCTCTACATCTTTGTCTTTATCTCTTACTTTTTTATCTATCCTGTCACCGCCTATCTTCCGTTTACTTCTAAACTTCCTGGCGGCAAGGGTTAACCTTGTGTAGTTACCCAACCTTGGGTAGTTGTATCTGGTTATAGCGGCGATGTATGAATGGCGCCTTCAAATGTTCTACCTTGCAGCGCCCCCCTGTTGGGCTCGGTGGTGGGTGGTCACCATCGCCGCCGAATATCAAATGCTCCACTAGCGAAATCTTTCCCCCTTCTCAATGATCGTTCCTTGAAAAGGAACCGCACCGATGATAGCTCCAAATGAACCGGAAGCGATTGTGACCACTTCCCACGTTTCTAGTCATACTTTCTCTGGCAGATAACGTCTCTGTTACAGGACCGTCAGTTTTCCTGATAGCTAGAACCCTTGCTACCCTAATAGGCAAAAATTACGACGCAAAGAAACTGTCATCCGGTGATCTTGTTGAAGTAAGCCAGAAACAGCACGCAAACACTCTCCTGAAACAGAAGCAATTTGCCCACCTGGATGTGTCCATCACCCCCCATCACAGTCTTAACACTGTTCAAGGTGTCATTTCACAACGTGATCTGATGCGAGAAATCAAAGCTGACCTCCTTGAAGGCTTTCGAGAGCAAGGCATGGTCGCCATCCGTCAAATAACCATCAGGCGAAACAATGAAGTGGTGACGCCTCATATAGTGCTAACATTTAACCGCTCTATCCTGCCCGAATACGTGAAAGCTGCGTTCCTCCACTGCAAAGTCCACCCCTACGTACCAAACCCTAGAAGGTGCTACAAATGCCAGAAATACAGACATGGGTCGAACACCTGTCACAGAAACAAACGTGAGCAAAATGTGGTGATCATGAGCACCCAACCGAGAGCTGTACTTTCACGCAAACAGAGTGCCCTAACTGTCACGGGCTGCACGCAGCATACTCGCGGACATGTGAAATTTTCAAAAAAGAAAAGGAAGTCATCCAGATAAAAGTAATGGAAAACATCACAATCTCTGAAGCCCGGAAGAAGGTCTCACTCTTCTCCGTAAGATCGTACGCTGATGCAGCGCGCCGGGGGGCCAGGCGGCGTCTAGGAACGGTGGGCACGCAGTACATCTTTGCTGATGCGTGCACATCTCGGGCCCCCCACCAAGCAGCCGCAGGCTGCACCAATGTTCGAAGTCCCGCAGGCCAACCTTCATGAGACCTCAGAGACAACACAGACAATCCGAATCCCGCAGGTCAACCTCCATGAAACTTCAGAAACGACACAGACAACTGAGAGGGCACCTGTCCCTCTTGAGAAACCCCCATCAGCCTCCGAGTGTCCACAGGGGGCAATAAATGTGGCAACGTCGTTCTCAGCATCTCCAATGCTCACGGAATCCCTCCTAGGGAAGCGGAGCCCAATAGAACGCCTCAGAGGGAAGAAACACCCTCCAGTCAAGGCACCTGACAAATGTGGCAAAGTCTGAATAACCCTCCTTCCTTTCTTCACTCTTAAAATGGCTGCCGAGAGTATCACCTACTGCAACTGCCGAGGTCTACCGAAGAACCTGGATGACATTTATGAAATACTTGCGCAACACCAACCTAACATACTTTGCCTGCAAGAGACACACCTAAACTCAACACACACTAACTTTCTAAGAAGATATGGGGTATACCGAAAGGACAGGCATGGCACTGCCCATTCATCCGGCGGTGTCGCTATCGTGGTGCACAAAGCACTCCCGTCTCAAAGCCTCACTCTGGTTTCTGACTTAGAGGCAGTGGCAATACGAACCTTTATCTTTGGACGCATGACAACTGTGTGCTCATTGTATATCCCTCCAGACCTGTCTACTAAAGAGTTAGCAACTCTCGTCGACCAGCTGTCGCAATCATTCCTCCTGGTTGGAGATATTAGTGTGCACAACCCCCTATGGGAATGCAGAAGAACAGATTCTCGAGGCTCCCTAAACAGAAACTTCCTCTTGTACTCCGGCTCCTGTAAATTTAACAAAAAAGAACCAACATACTTCAACGCAGCGTGCAACTCATACACAGCCATTGATCTTGCTATCGGCTCTCCTTCACTCATGGCAACCACAGTTTGGGCTGTTATTCATAACTTCCACTGAAGTGATCATTTTCCTGTCTGTCTAAAACACACAGGAAGTACAAGTAAGACGACTACAAATATATTCAGGTTTAGACAACGGGGTGCTGACTGGATAAAATCCTGAAAACTTACAGGCGTTCTTCTATTGAAAACCTAGACATTGATGACTGTGAAGCATTGGTCGTACTTCATATCATACAGGCCGCAGAGCAATCGATGCCACAGACATCTGACAAGACACGAAACAAACGGCGGCCCTGGTGGAATGCGGAGTGCAAAAAAGCTCGTGAGAACCAAAACAAAGCTTGGTCGAAATTTTGCAGGTATCTTACAGCTGACAACCTGATGAAATTCAAGCGTGCAAAAGTAAACGGTAGACGTGTCCGACGAGAGTCTAAACGACAAAGCTGGCAATCCTTCCTCTCATCGGTGAACTCTTACACTGACACACATAAGGTGTATAACAAAGTAAGAGCACTCCAAGGGCACAGCACTCATCTGATGCCCCTTGTTAGTACTGCTTGTGATACACTGGAACACCAGGCAGATGCCTTAGGCCAACACTTCGAGTATATTTTCAGCTCAGCACATTATACAGACTCCTTTAGGCAATACAAATTTGCCGAGGAACGTAAACCTATTCGTGATGACAGGCCATCGGCAGGAGGGTACAATGCCCCCCTTACTATAGGTGAACTAAAGGCAGCACTGGCAAAGTGCGGCAGCTCAGCAGCAGGCTCGGACAGGATTACTTACGGCATGCTGAAACACCTACACGAAGAAACGCTTGACATCCTCCTCATTCTTTTCAACAATGTATGGTCCTCTGGACGTCTGCCCATGACCTGGAAAAAGGCAGTTATCATACCCATCCTTAAACAAGGAAAAGAAGCCACACTTGCTGCTAGTTACAAGCCTATAGCGCTGACCAGCTGTTTGGGCAAAGTGTTCGAAAAAATGGTGAATCGCCGCCTTATGTATTACCTTGAATACAATGGCCTCCTTGATCGTCATCAAGCTGGATTCAGGTCTGGTCGGTCGACAACTGACCAACTGGTAGCATTCAAATCCTATGTCAGGGATGCCTTCATTCACAAACAACACTGCCTTTCTGTATTTTTCGACTTGAAGAAGGCTTATGACACGACATGGTGTTATGGAATTCTCCGTGACTTGCAATCTCTTGGAGTGTCAGGGAACGTGCTGAATACAATTCAAAGCTACCTCTCTGAACGTACGTTCATGGTTTGTGTTGGAAATGTCCTTTCAAAGCGGTTCATGCAGGAAAATGATGTCCCCCAAGGTGGCGTTCTTAGTTGCACACTATTCATCGTAAAAATGAACTCCATAAGCACTATACTGCCTAAAACAATCTCCTACTCTGTATATGTGGCTGACATTCAGATCAGCTTCAAATCGTGCAACCTAGGCATCTGCGAACGTCAGATTCAGTTGGCAGTAAATAAGCTCTCAAGCTTGGCCGACAAAAATGGTTTTAAATTCAACTGTGACAAGACTGTTTGTCTACTCTTTTCAAAACTACGTGGCATAAGGCCATCCCCCAACATTTCAATGAATGGACACACCATTGCTACTAAGAAGGATCATAAATTTCTAGGTGTTGTGATGAATGAAAAGCTCAGCTTTGTCCCACACATCGAACAGCTGCGACTGAAATGCTTGAAAGCCTCGAACTTGCCCAAGATTCTCTCGGATCAGTCATGGCGTACAGATTGTGACTGTCTATTAAACCTTCTCAGTAGTGCAGTGCTCTCACATGTTGATTATGGCTTGGTTGTATACGAATCAATGTCGAGATCCGCACTTCAGATGCTCGACCCAGTGCATCACCATGAGCTTCGTCTGGCTAGTGGTGCTTTCCGAACTAGCCCAACAGCCAGCCTGTATGTTGTGACAGATCGGTGGTCATTAGAACGACGACGGCAGTTCACAAGCATCAAGTATGCAACCAAGGTGCTCTCCCATGTCGACCACCCATCCCGCGAGCTATTGCAGGATACATAAAACACCCACCTGTTTCTGAGGCGACCATCAGCTACGCCAACGTATCCCATCAGAGTGGCCTCACACTTTGAAAATCTGCATACACCCATCTCCAATCTTCAACTTCCATGGTGCCACAGTGTCCTTAAGGACACTGTGGCACCATGGGAAAAGCAGGCTATCAATTGTGACTTGTCATTCTTAGAGGTAGGAAAGCATGGCCTCCCAGTTGTAATCGATCAGCATTTTATGTACTTGCAGGCAAAATACAGGTGTGTTGTGTACTACAGTGATGCTTCCGAGTCCTCGGCCGTCGTATGTGCTGCATATGGCTCAGCATACTCTGAATCTGCAACAATGAATGAACATACCAGCATATTTACTGCTGAGTGCTATGGCATACTGCTAGCTATAAGGCACATCTTAAAGAAGAAAGAACCAGCCTCCATCATATACACCGATTCCCTCAGTGCAGTGACTGCATTGTCTTACGCAAAAACACATAAAAATCCAGTGACTAATACCCCTCTAAACTGCCTCATGTCGGCCTACAGATCCAAGCTTAAAATCGCGATATGCTCGATTCCGGGACACTGCAACATAGCTGGCAATGAGGCAGTAGACCGATTTGCAAAGTCCGCTGCACTCCACCCAACAGTAGACGTAGTCATCATCTCGTATGAGTACTTAAGGCCGCTAACCAGAAACCGAATGCGTAGGCAATGGCAAGAGGAATGGAACGCAGCAATTGAAAACAAATTTCACACAGTAAAGCCAAGAGTAGGTAGATATGCTCTTGAAAAACGTAACAGGCATCAAGAGGTTGCACTGTGCAGACTCGGGATCGGTCATACACATGCAACACACTCGCACCTTTTAAGCAACTCTCCTGCACCGCGTTGTGAAAAATGTGGTGAAGTGCTATCTGTCGTTCACATTTTAACTATGTGCCCGTACCTTGAACCAGAAATACTGCGTCACTTCTCAAAGCTATACAAATGCCACATACCGCCTCACCCTTTATTTTTTATTGGTAACGATCCCATGTTTCCCACAATAGTAGTTTTAAAGTTCTTAGCTGATGTTGGATTCCTGCATTCCATCACATATTCTCACTAATTTCAGCCCTCTTTCAATCCTGAAAGAACCGCTGAGACTTCTTTACCAAATGTCATGCAGCACACACTCCTTGTCCTGACAAGGACCACTGCCGACACTGCGTGACTTTGTAAAACCCAAAGGTTTAGACTGTTTTAAACTCATCACACATACCGTAATTACTCGAATCTAACGCGCACATTTTTTCCGGTTTAGCGAGTTTATAAATCGCATGCGCGTTAGAATCGAGTACGAACAAAAAATTACGGTCAATCTATTGCCATCGCAAATCCAAAATGGCCGCCCCCTACGTGCGTCGGTATGGTGCGTCGGCTATTTCTGCCTATGTGTTTACCATGTGCACTTCGTACGTGTGCTGAGGAGTTCGTCATCTAGTAGTGCATTAGCATCGACGACGTGAAAGGGCCGACTCCAAAAACTCAAGTGCACCACGATGCCGCTTTTAAAAGAAAAGTCATCGCGTGTGCAGAAACGGACGGAAGTCTGGCCGCATCGCGGTCGTTCCCGAATCGTGCGTGCGGGACCGGCGGAAACAAAAGCAGAAGATTGTCGACAGCAAAGCTTCACGCAAAGGCTTCAGTGAACCACAGCAGGGTCGGTTTCCGCAAATTAAAGAGCTGCTCCGCGAGTATGTGCTTGAGGAGCGAGCGGCACAGCGGCCCGTGACGACAGAACTGCTCCAAGTGCGGGCTATGCAATTAGTCTTAGAAAAAAGTCTAATGCGGAGCCAGTTTAAAGCGAGCAGGTACTGGCTAATTAACTATATGAAGAGGAAAGGCTCTTCCCTTCGAAGGGGAACATGCATATGCGAAAACTTTTGCGGAGAAGTACGATGAAAAGCTGTACAGTTTTCAAAGGTTCGTCCTAAACTTGCTGCGCAACAACGGCTACCTGCTTGGTCAAATCTGGAATGCCGATCAGACGCCTCTTTACTTCGATATGCCTGGCACCACAACTGTCGAGAAGAAGGGGTCAAAGCAAGTTCGCGTGCTGACATCGGTCCACGGTAAAACTACAGTGACGGCAATGCTCTGTTACACGTCAGATGGGCACAAGCTTCGCCCGTACCTCATATTTAGATGGAAGACAATCCCGAAAGGAATCGTTTTTTCGAGTGGTGTGATCGTGCGGGCCAGCGAAAAAAAATGGGTGCGCGTTGCAATCGATGTCTTACGTTTTTTTTTTTTTTTTTCGCGGTGGAAATCAAGTGCGCGTTACAATCGAGGGCGCGGTAGAATCGAGTAAATACGGTAGTCATTACACTTAAGTTTAATCCCTATGCACCACTTTTTTATTCTCGCCACCCTGAGTAGATTTTTTTCTATAATTGAACAGATGAAAAGCTCTGTGTTTGGCGCTCTTTGGCCCGAGGGTTTCTTGCGCCAGTAAAATCTATCATCATCATACAATGACCAAGCTTACATCCATCTCCTTGAATTTGGCCTGAGTATGACTTTTTATTTTTTCAGGAACAGTATCGCACATAAAAGTATGATTCTTTTTTTATTATTATTCATTACATGCTGTTGCCTTGAGCTACCCGTCAGCTGCATTGCCATTCCCGGAGCTGTTATAATCTTTAGAAGTTAGCAGTCCCTTTTTTAAAGGCCTAAAATGGGAAAAGTGAGCAAATTACCTTGGATAAGTGGAGAAAACTTTTGTGGCTATTTTTATTAAATTACTAAGTTGCGTAAGATAACTCATGCTGCAAAGTAATCAATTTAGTTCATTTTAATACTGTATTCATCGCCATCTAAACAAATGCAAAACCTTTGCATGCAGATCCTACGTAGATTGAGCTGTATCTGTTCCAAGAATTCTTGCTGCTCAGAAGCATTGTCGAAGCTTTCAGACAACTTACCGCAACAATGCATGTGCATATAGTCTGTGCCTTGTGTCATTCCTATTATTTTGATAGAAACGTGTCCACAACTATAGCCCCAAGCAGTATTTATTCAACTGTTTTGTGGCAGGGCTTCTTTTAAAACGATTTGCCTTTGTAATGCAACATTTGGCTCAGAACTTTGCAGAACTCATACCATAAATGCTATGTCGGTCTGCTTATTGTTCCTGAGCATATGGAGCATGCTGATGTGCTTAGCCAGAATAGATGCAGTGTGGTAATGATTGTATGTTTGAAACGTCTAAATCAATTGAGCTATTGTAGCTTACTAAGAACTTGGTCTAGTTGTATGCGTCAAATAGAGCCCGGCATGCAGCAATATGGATAACAAAGAGCCCAAGGAAGGATAAAGGCGAACGAGTTCATAGTTTCATCAAAAAGTTATTCACAGAAGCAAACACTTATATGCTACAGGGTATCCTGTGAAAGCTGCACTCATCACCCGCATCTTTTCTGCAGCATATTTGACAATCTGCTGGTGCACTGCTATCATTTGTGGTTCGGCTTTTCATAGCACTTTCTTGTTTTGTTAAACCAACCTTTGGGCTTGAATAACTGCTCTGCCTGGGTAATCCAAAAAACAGGCAGCGACAGCAGCAGCAGCGATCTGTCATCACTGGCCTCGCAGCCGGCGGCGGTTCCGACGACCACCAACACGCTGCTGGCCGTGGACAGCAGCGGCAAGTGGTTGCCGGGCACCCCGAGCACACGGCGCATCTTGCGTCACATTGAGGGCAACGACATGAAGATTGACTCGGGGCAGTTCAACCCGGACGCCCTCTGGAAGCGCAGCCTGGCTGGGTGAGGGTGGTCTCGTTTCTGCTCTCCACGGTGTCTTGGTTGGCAACACTGCAAGTCAAGAGGCATGCCATGCCACGAGAAATCTCATGGGCATGGCATGCTTTACAGTATCAGTGCGAATCGCTTGCTGTACTCATTCGCATTTCGGTCTTCTTACTAAAAGCGCCAGTTCAGCGAAGCAGTTCGAGCAACAGTAGTTCATAGTCACACCAGGCATCATACTATCTAGCGTTAGCAAGCAATGCTTACTGGAGTTAACACAGAAGTTTCTGTGCTTCTATTGGTTACAAATGAGAACAATAAAAAAAACTGCAATAGACTGAAATGTGCACCAGGCATCGACTTGAGTAAACTGCCCAAACTATGTATTCCTCGTTATGTCTACCATACTGCAACCTCGTACATTCTTGCCTTTTTTGTTTTTTTGTTTGCTTTTATTTCACCTGCCTTGCCATTGCCCATCATCCAGTATGTAATTAAGAAGTAAATAAATAAAGAACACACTTCGAATAAAGTTTGCTGCCATATATGAGTGGGAAGAAGAAAAAGACTGATGAAGAATGGGAATCAGCGAAATAAAGTGTACAAAGAAAATGAAGGGCTTGAAAAATGATAAAAGTGTTTTCCAAAACGCCACTGCCACAAAAAAACTTGACTACCTTATCAGGACTTGTCTCAACAGTGACCGCACATGAAACCTGTGAGAATGTTTGTTCAGCAGCTCCTACCTAAATATATGGGAACAGAAAAAGCCACATTGGTTTTGTTTTCTTGCATTTAAATAAAAACTTGAATGCACTGTCTGAGAAAAGCAAATTTGTTTTTTCACGCACAACTAGAAAAATAAAGTTCCTGCAAGTTGCTAACTTTGAATAAAATCAAGTTTGACAATGCTATTATTAGCTCAATCGTAGGAAATTCTATTACACTTCTGTAAAGTCAAGCTGTCTTGAATGACATGTCATCGGCAGAAAGTGTTGATGTGGAACACACTCTTCTGAAAAGTCCAAATAAAGGTACAATGATTGTCAAATTGTACAGTCGATTGCAAGGTAGGGTTTTTGATGCTCAGTCACATTGGCTGCACAGAAATGTTTTTGTGATAATGTCTTTGGGTGTTGGAATCGCTGCTTAATATGAATTTTTTTGAAGCCTTTCACTAAGGCATCTCTCACAGAGCCTTTTTATTTTTTTTTCTATTTTTTTAAATACTGCCAGTGTACCAACTTTAATCCTGTGAAAAAGGCTCAAGTTACCTAGCTTAATTACTTTCTTTCCTTGGGGTGTTTGCAGGAAGCTGCAGATGGCACACTTCGACCACTTGGGCAAGTTGACGACCGAGTTCGAGCCAGAGCCGGACAAAAAGACAGGTCTGTTCAACTTGGGCAAACTGAGCAGAAGTTAATAGCAGGCAACTGCAATGCTAAGCTGGTATTTTGAAGTCATGCGCTGTGATCGATTCTACGCTGGTCTCATCATCCACCTCTCGCAGCCGTGGATGGACTGTCGCTCTGACAAGTGCGAGAAGCGTGAAATTGCACTAGCATCACAAAACACACCCCTACGAAGCATTGGCCTTCGCTGAGTGGCCCCGCAGCATGTGATCATGGCCATTGTGACATTGTGCTCAGAAATCCTTGCTGTTAGGCTAGTCAGTTCATACTTTGTATTGGAGGTGTGCACAGGCTTGAGGTAGCCCGAGCCTGGCCCTGCCCATGCGCCTGGCTTTAGTGGGTTGAAGTCTTCTCGTCTCTGGCCGGCCTCGAGATAATTTTTTTTTTTTTTTTTGTTGGGCGGGTCGTGCCAAATGAAAAACTCGAATCGAGCCCAAAAGACATTGTGCCGAAAAAGTGTTTCCCACCATGTATGGCCTTCTACACAACCACCCTCTCTCCCTTTTTTGGTTCTCCTTTCCTGCAGTCACTTCAAACGCTAGGAGAGAGGGTTGAGTCAGATAAGATTAGCTTTGTAATTATCTTTAAGCGGCATAGTCCCCTCTCTACATCTGAGATAATGCACGCAAACCTCGATATAATGAAATCGGATACAATGAAATATCTGTTATAACAGCGTAAATTAAAAGTAGTCTTGCAATAGATACAGTGTTAGAAGTAAGCCTTCATAACGAATTTTCGAATATAACGAACTTATTCTCGTGTAAGATGCAACTTAGTGATAATTAGGTTTGAGTGTGGTTACGAAAGTGCACTCTTTGAATTTACGAAAACGCACTCTTCCTAAAACGACCGTCGTAACTCGGTGACGCTTCTTGATTTTTCCTTGGGTCAGGAATTTTTTTTATTTGAAAACAAAATGTGGTTTTGTGCTATTCGGTCATATGTGCGTAATATATAAAATTACTGGGAAAATCGAAGACATCAAGCATACCTGTTTTTCATAGACTTGTGTGAATATTTGAATGCTTCAAATATTCGAATGAATAGTAGGGTATTTTAATTCGCTTCGATTCTAATTTAAATGATTGAAAATTGTGAAATGTTCGCAACGAACAAATAAATGCTTATTAATCTGAATCTATCGCCTGTAAAAGTGGTTTCACTGCAGTGTAGGAGTGCTGAACCATGAAAGCATCTATTAAGGAGAAAAGCGCTTTGCTTCGAAGCCCTCTTACAATTTAAAGGGGCTCTGCAACACTCTTTCAGCATTGTTAGAAAGCGCTGATCGGTAGTCAAGGCTACCGAGGACACGCAAGTCAAATATTAGAGGGCAGCATGCGGTGTGCAATTCACAATAAATTCTCAAAGTCAGCTAAAAATTGCTCTCTTCTTTCGGCAAAGGGCTCCACAAGCTCAGAAAGCACACGTGACATTTTTTTTTCCTCGTACCTTCTTTCCCTGCTTAGCTTCCAGCGCTTTCGGCGGGACGAGAAAAGAGAATGCGCTTCCAGCATGCGAGAATTATTTACAACTCCGCACTTACTGAACGGATTCTAAAAATTTTTGTGGCATTGAATTCATGAGTCAATACGCTTCTTTAGTGAATCCATTCCATGGCTACTTGAAGTGTTGCACGGCTCATTGAATTGAACATATAACCCTCACATCAATTCATTTTGTTGAGCTTGAAAGCTTGTTATGACACGTTGTGCAGGTTTGTTAGGTCATGATAAATATGCCCATGTTTTAATATGTCATATATACTATTCAATTTGAAATTATTGAAACAAAATCACTATTTGCTTCGAATTAGCTTCAAACCTAAAATTTGCTATTCGCACAATTTTAGTTTTTTTACCTTTTGTGAAATCAACCGGTAGCGAGTGCACTTTGGAAAGGAGGTACACTGGGGTGCGTGCTACGAGGTCTCAACGATGGGGAGTGAAGAAACAAAAAGCAGATGGAGGAAAAAGAAAAGGAAAAAAAGACAGTGGCACTCTACCTAGGCTCACCAATAGAATGAGAAAGTGGTTGCCCTGGCAACAAATAAGCCTTTGCCCTGGTGCATATGGGGCTCTATGATGCAAGCTTTTGCTTTTGCTGCTAGTGTGCAATCTTACATAAGCTTGGCAGGCTTTTGTAATGCTAGGGTTTCCCAACCACTGATGCAAACTTTGTATCATGCACGCTGTTCTTGGTTCAGTGCTTGAGTGCGATCTTTTCGAGGCCTGATCCACACGACTTGGAAAAACTTCTCGTGGTATCCCTAATGGCAGGCTAGGCCTAATCAGCACTGGTTGCATTTAGGTAGCGGTCGCATGCAATCTAAGTTGGGGCTTGGTACGGAATCTGCAAAAGTTTTTTTAATTATTGCACTTGAAAGGAAGAAATGCATATCATTAATGAAAACAAGGGTTGCACGTGTAGCGCTCAAATGGTGGTTTGCGATTCGATTGTGATATCTTAAAATCGGGCGCACACTTGTAATATAAAACGGTCGGCATCTCCCAGCGCGTGAAATGGCAAATGTGATTCGACATAGTTTCTGTGCATTGTGTATAATCGAGGCATTTGGATGCTGAAATATTTTAGCATTTGGAAATTTAAATGCTTGTAAGTACCACGTATCACATGCTTCAAACATTTTGTGCAACTGCTGCTCTTGAAAAAGGCTGTTTTAGTTACACTGCGGTGGCACTTGTAGTGCGGATATTCATGACTCCCACAACTTATGTTATAAGCAGTCTATACTGTAAACAGTGGAACCCCGATTATACAACATTCAGGAAGACCAGGCAGTACTGTCGTATAATCCGGGGGTTGTATAATTGAAACGCTACAATTATAGGCAGTGACATTCAGCATTGCATAAAAAACGGGCACAGACTACCTGAATAAGCCCTCAGCACGAGCTTGTGCCTCTGAAAGAAAGGTCGATTGAATTATTTTTGCCTGTGGCAGCTAATGGCAGCATTACTTAGTTGGAGCAGGTGTGAGCGGATCTTTACTCTCTAAAAAAAAAATCCAATCCATTGTTCATCTTTCTACCGGTAAACAAAATCATAAAACTGCCTGCACGTGAAAACGAAACCACGTTGCCAACAGCCTCCCATCAGAAGAGTTGGACACACTGTCATCGCTATCACATAATGGTGACAGAGTAAGAGTTTGTGTAGAATGTTTCCGTGTGCGACTGTGCTGTGTTTGTTCCAACTTGCTGGCTTTTGAAGTGCAACTAGTGATGTCCCACTGTAATTTTCAACGTTGACGTCAAGTGAAAGTAATTTTGTACCGTGAAAACAGCTGCGTTGCACCCTTATGTGTGCGCAAGCCTGTGACTGCGAGTGCGACAAAGGCAGGAGATCTGCTGTATGTAAACCAGGAAAAGTTTCCATGCACTGAAAATAAGAAAATATCAGCTTTTCAGCTGCCTGAAGCTACTCTGTGTGGGCAGAGCTTCACTAGATAACAGCCTTAAATATGTACGCAGGCAATCGAGGCACATGTCGAAGAGCATGAACTTTCAGGAGAATAAATTTTTCATTCTAAGAAGACCTCCTGTCTCTCTATTTCTAATTGTCAACCTAAGGGAACGCAAGTTCATATTTTTCACTCGTGAAAATTTTGACGATGTTTGATTGGAGTAAAGGTGTTTTTTTTTTCTTTTGTACAGAATCTGAAAGTCGTTGTAAGCCGTGGGGTCAGCATAAAACTGCGTCGCATAACCAAGGTTTTAATACTTACTGCTATGGGGATTTTGCCAGCACCACACCAATTCATCGTAAAATGCGGGTTGTTGCAAAACTGAGGGACGTGTATTTGAAGTTTTGCTGTATGAATATCTCTAGTGGGAGGCGTCTACTTAATGCATGCAATATTGCATAGAAGAAGCGTAGAATCGTGCCAGGTGTCCAAACGTGTGAATTGCATGGGTGGTTGTTTTAAACAGAAATGCTGCCTAAATTGAACAACTGGCTCTAGTATGATTGGTATCACACTTGAATTTTGCGCCCCTGTTCTTTTCTCACTAAATGAAAGGTTTGTTGAAATGGAACAGATTTTGGTGGTCTCTTCAGGTTCTGTTTTTTGAGAGTGAGTGTGATGGTGCACGGTCACATGATCTGTTGATGCAAAGGCCAGTGCTGATGCAAAGGCCAGGGAGATGGAAATTGAGTTGAATCCTGTGATAAAAAGAAGTGTATGTTTTAAGAGATTGTTTTTTTTTTTTTGTTAGAAAATTAATGTGGACTAATTGAGAACACCTTGGCATCATTGTATGCCTGTTCTCATCAATGTTGAATCTATATACATTTACAATGGATCCGAAATTATGCTACTGTGGCAGTACTTTTATTGTCGTTGAGTTTCATTGTGGGGTTTCATTCACTGTATACTACTAAATGGGATTATATCATCATCATCATCAGCCTGACTCTGCCCACTGTAGGGCAAAAGCCTCTCCCATGATCCGCCAATCAACCCGTTCTTGTGCTTTCTCTTGCCACGTTTTACCCGCAAACTTTTTAATCTCATTGGCCCACCTAACTCTCTGTCTCCCCTTCGTGCATTTGCCTTCTCTGGGAACCCAGTTAGTTACCCTTAATGACCACCGGTTATCCTGTCTACGTGCTACGTGTCCCGGTTTGTTCTCTTACCCTGGTTATCCTTAAGGGGAGATGCGAGTCGAAAAACCGCGTTTTTAGCGAAATTTCTTGTATTTCTGATTTTTATTGCATTGTAATCTTCAAACCTTCTTCTTTCATCTGTGAAAATTTCAAAACTAAATTCGAACCGCAAAATGCAAAAAAATGTGTATGAAGGCATCGCGGTGGCTCAAAATTTCGTGAATTTGCGCCGATATTGGCCATCTTTGACTGCGCGCTGCTCCCCGTCGCAGTGCCGCCCGCCACCGCGATCGGTTTGGAAAGTTGCGTCCGGCCTTCTTCTTACAACTCCGACGACCGCCAGTTTCG